TCTGTCTCGAAGTGTGACAGACTGACGACCTGTCCAGGGTGTACCCCGCGTCTTGTCCGGTGTCAGCTGGGATTGGCTCCAGCCCCCCATCACCCTCTACAGGATAAGCAGTGTAGGTAATGGATGGATATGCATATGCACTCTCTTTATGAAAATGAACTCAGAAGATACCAATCACCGTGTCTGTATGTAGGGTTCAGAGTCAGAGCCCAGACATAGCATACAGACAGGAAACAGGAGGAAACACATAGCGTGGCACAGTCCTAATTTCAAAATTGCACCTTCTACCACTTCTAAAGTTCTCTAATCTACATGTCTCATCTCTTATTTGTATATAAACATAAATGTAAAAATGACAACCCAACATTTCTGTTCTCTGTCTGGGCTATAGCACTTTTTTGTCTGGTAACTTTTCTGTGGCAACAAGTCTCTGAAAAGGCGGGCTGGCTGTTTTTCCCTACTTGCAGCCCTTGTGCTAATCTAAGATAAAATAATCATGCCTGACTCTAGCTCCATACAGAAATGACATACTATCAATTTTCTGATCTAATTTTTGGAAAAACACAGAATAAGTGTATTTCCAAAAATGTTCCTTTAATTTAATGCATTAGCAATGGTGAAAGAAAAACACTGGATGCATGATGTTGAAATCAAGAAGCCAAACAAGGCTTTATTGTTTAGACGTTGATTACATTAGGAAGAGGTGCTTGCACATAGCATGAGGCTTGACTGGATTTAGTGCATGATATGTATCATTTTGTGTTCAGAACATGCGCTCAATTAGATTGAAAGAAGAAGAATTCTTATGTGCTCATAAATCTCAGTCCAAACACTTGATCAAAGCATAATTTTATATTAGATAGCAAAAGAGGCCTACAGCTAAGACATAAATACATTGGCACTGTCCACTTTCACTCATTATTATTTGTTTTATATGTATGTAAAGCAATTAGAATTCAACCTCTTCATATCTGAGGAAATTACAAATCACAGTGATAGCCAAGAATGTACAGTGTAGATGAAGCTTCCTGTGCAATGCAAAAGAATTACTTGGCCCTCAGTGTCTACGTATCTTTGAACTCAATGCAGCATTGCAACATGTGAATATTAGCTCTCCTAAGGCATGACAGGCAGCATGAATGGCAGTTCCAGCAACGCCTCTTGATTCAGATGAATTGGACAGAAGGCAGTTTTGGAGCACAAGCAGCAAACAGTCAAGTGCTGTGAAAGCACAAACCAGGATCAAGAACTGGAGGACAGTCAAAAAGGCTACAAAGCCTTTGATCTCTGAGTTTCTGCTGATGCTGTACATAAACCATGCTGTTAATAAAACCCAATGAATTACTCTGCCAAGAAAAATATTAGGTGTACTTTGAGGTTTTGAAGAGAGATGCGTCAATAGAGGAGGTGTTATGTGGAGAAATTTAGTTAGGTTAGCTTTGTTTAAGTGCCAGAAAACCCAGTGATGGCTTGGACAACACCACTTCCCATCATCCCAGTGGTGACTCTGTTGTTTCTCTAAGTTGCCCATTGAGAATCGGGAGCCTCTCAGATAGGCCGGGAAATTCTGGAATTATCTGATGATCCTATTCATCCCAAACATTTGCACACTCACTTAGACACAGAGGAATTGTTTATATCTTAAACCATCTCCGTAGCCCACTCAGCAGGACAAGGCCAGAACAGTGTTTATGTGAAGCACTGAACAGTAACGTATGGGTCACAGCTGATTCATTCACTTAGAGCTCAGCCTCTGAGGGGGCTTTCATTACTTTCTCTGTAAATCTTCATATGAAGTGAAGCATTTTCATTAGTTACTGCATTTCATACAGAGAATCTGGTTTTTCTAGGCTCAGGATGCCAAGTAGGTTGGAAAGGTATTGTGATATTACCGGTAAATGATTTTTCACTGGCTTTCTCAGCACTTGAAGCTCAGTACAAATTTAACTTGGCAAAACCCATTTTTCATTTTGACTTGCTTGAGAATACCAAAGCCCGACCCACATCAAATGGCTTGGCTTGCTGGCTTACAGCAGCTAACAAAGAAAACAGACTGATATGAAAAGCTTGTACACTGAGCCATTTGGCTTTGAACAGACTTTCTAAACAAGGCGACCTGACAGCAGACGATCCCAGTGTGGGTCACAACAGATAGCTCCCAGCTTTGTCACTCTGTCCCGCCACTGTTCTTTTTGTGTTGGACTGGACTTGACCTCCAGAGAGATGAGCTGCAAACCTCTAAAACCATCAGAGGGTTTATGACCAATCAACACAAGAGTCACTCTATTCCTTTTATTTAAACAAAATCTTTATTGGTTCCATTTACCTCTTTCCAATACAGAGCGGTAGCCAAAAAGTGCACATAATTAGGAGAGTTTGAAAGCTATTGTAAATGGGAAGGTAAATGACAATCGTCAAAGACCAAGTGTGAATCAAGGTTTGCACACATTCATCTCATTCATCTCGTTTAAGTGAAAATTTTCTTCACTTAAGCGAGAGCAAGACCGAGTACATCGCTTTCAGTCCAGATTTGGCCACCCTGATACCCAAACTAGGCCTTGGCCCTTTCAGTCACTGATACTGTTAAAAACCTCGGAATATTTGACAGCAGTTTTAACTTTGATAAACAGATCTGCACCGTAGTCAAAACTAGCTTCTTTCATTTGAGGATGCTAGCAAAAGTGAAGCCCTTCTTATCTCATGCAGAGTTAGAAAAATCTATTCATGCTTTTATTATGTCCAGACTTGACTACTGCAATGTCCTTTACGTCGGTATCTCACAATCTCTCCATCGGAAGCTACAACTTGTACAGAATGCTGCGGCTCGGCTTCTGTCAAGTACTCCCAGACATGCTCACATCACTCCTGTTCTCTCCTCGTTACATTGGCTACCAGTGAAATTTAGAGTCGATTTTAAAGTACTCTTATTTGTTTTGGCCTCGCCCCCTTATACCTATCGGAGCTTGTGTCTGTCTACTCTCCCCATAGAGCCTTGTGCTCTGCAGACCACTTATCCTTAGTCACCCCCCACTCTTCCTACAAAAAATGGGGAGATCGCTGTTTTAGCAGCTATGGCCCTAGGCTCTGGAACT